AGTTCACTCAACAAAAAGGGTTGACGAAAGAATTCGGATGGAGGTGTACGAGAAACAACAGGAATATACCAAAACTCCCTCAGAATTTCCACATTGTCACCAACCCATGTGGTTCACTTTGTACATATTTTCCAACACTGCTCATCACGATCAATTCCACTACCTTCAACATCCGGTCACGACTGCCAGATATTATATAGTCTTCTCCTGTCCACCGTAAACACGTCACCGGTGCTGTGTGAGACGTAAGGACATACTTTACAGTGTAGTTCGCTCCTAAACACAATCCTACCACACTCCCTTGTGCTGCTACTGTTACTACCATCCCAAACCCTTATGCTCATGTCCTTTGACCCAGTAGCGATATTGGGCACTAACTGTCCATCACTCAGTAGATGGAAAGGCTGCCATGTCCCACATGTGATAGGCCCAGTATGACCTACAATGATACTGCTACTCCTCTAGCACGCATGCACAAACCTACCCTTCAACGTCCCTAACTTCTGGCCCTTAGCCCCGTCCCAAACAATAGCAGTCTTGTCCATACCAGCCGACAACAGCCTCTTACCATCACCAGACCAAGCAACGAGGAGCACCCAAGATGCATGGCCCTACCCACAGAACCGATGCCCAAGCCCCCCATAGGCTCCCCTTCCTACCTTGCAGGTGTGCGCTGGCGTCTCAGTAAACAGATCCCATAACCTCACAGTACAGTCCCCCGAGCCTGTTGCTAATCGCGAACCTGAACGCCATGAACCATCCCACAGGGCCGCTCTCAGTCGTCCTTACCATCAGGACTGAAGGCAGCGCATAGGACGGAGTCCGTGTGGCCTGTCATAGAAGACGTGCATCGTGTAACAGGTCGGACTCGGAAGCGGGCCAGAGGATGGTACCTATCACAGACCATTGGTTCGACCATCGAGATCTGTTGCATTGCTACTCACTTAAAGGATTAGACGAGTCTTATTTATCAATACTCACGAAAATTCCGGGATTTATGCGGAAACGCTTTGCCATCCATCACAAGATCCGCTCCTCCCACAACACACAAGACGAGCGAGTCTTAACGAACCGTAAAAGCCCCATCACAACAATAACGTCAGTTATTACCGAACTCTGAGGGTCTGCTCAGCAGAAGGCTGACTCTCGAGTGCCGTCCATGCAGCATATAGTGTCGATGACACTTCCTGTGTGCCTACAGGACACGTGCATATCATATCACCATGCCCACGCTGGCCACCTACTATCGTTCAACACAAAGGAATAATCAGTGTCCTGTATCTCATCTCGCAGGTCCTCATCCTTAGCGCCCTAACATCACACTTCAATACCAGCCATCATACAAAACCCATCTACCTGGCCAACGTCAGAAAGCAACAACTCCTTCAGGAGCGACTGCAACTCGCTTCTGTCCGTATTAAGTGCCAGACTGAGCTCAGATCCCGTACCAACTCCTGAACACATCACAAACTACTCCTCAATCTGGTCCTCGCATAAGCCTACCATCTGCACTGACGAACTGTATGATGACGGTCTCCTCCGGGGATATTGCAGGGCCCTCCTTCTTCTTCTTTGAGGCCAGAACCCGGCCCTTAGGGGCTGCCCTTTTCTGTGGAGACGGCTGTGTTGCCATCACTAGATAGGAGAGTAGCTCAAACCCTACACGACTCACAAGAGGCCCGAACTCGACCCTCGATAGGAGCTGTAAGTTACAAGGGCTCAATGCAGCGAAGAGCGACGATAGCAGCAGACACAGGAGGAGTAGAAGGAGGAGACGACGATAAAAGGGAGAAGGAGGAAGACATATAAAACGTTTATATTCTTTATCGTAAATTTCGACAATACCAACAATGTATGAGATCGACAAGCACGCCCCCGACTGAGACACTGACTACTGACCAGTACAAAATAGAGCATCCAGCCGTATGCACACCGACACAGGATTCTCCACTCAGGCTGAGGAATCACATCCTCATCATCGTAACGGAAAAGGAAGATGAGACATGTGTCCGAAGATACCACGATATCACCACAAAAACATCCCTCATATCCTACTCGGTGCTATAAAGGGTATTTTCCAATGCCCCCGTTCTAGACAGTTACTGATGGGAGGCGAAAACTATCTATCACAGTATTGATTAATATAGTACAATAATGGTATAATACAGATGAGCTGCTACTACAAGAAGAGGTAGAATAAAAGCATCAAGTGCCGAGAACAATGATATAGGTCAACAACAACAACACTCACAGAAGGAGGTGATGATGATTATGATGCATGGTGCCGGGATCGAACTCGGGATCTCTTGAGGACTCGAGAAGATTGAAACACACCACATTACGCCATAGAATAATCAACCAGTCTTCACTGAACCACTTAGAGGACCACAATAAGGGAAAGTGTCGATGAGTAGCATCTTCACGCGCCACGAAATTACAAGTTCACATCCGAATTCTACGGCCGGATCGAGACTCCTTCAAGTATATCGGCTCATACCTGTCATAATCATCATAACTACTCCACAACGCGCAATAGGTCGGACCTCTGCCTCCGCCGTAGTAGACCGGCAAGCGTGGCACATTTGACTGCTGCAGCATTGGTGCAATGAGCCCTCCTCCTCCTCCCCTGCCACCATAACGGGGATCCTCGTACCTATTCTGGTGTTTCCTCTGGAGCTCAGTAAAGAGATCCGTCGTCATCTTAGATTGATGCACCAAATAGCGTTCCCTCGCATACCTACCATCACCCCAATAGACCAACACACGACAACCACGCCTTACTTATCAAAGGACCCTCCGACCAGCCAAGACTGTGCATCAGCGATTTCGGTTTGACTGTGACTGTATAGGCAGTTTTCTCCAAAGTAGCAGTTTCGTCCCCAGCGGCACATCTGGGACTTGTGCATTTTTTTCAGGCCCTAGACACCACCACTCCAGCAGCCTCGACCCCAAGGAGCTTACTATTACCTCACCGTGTGAGATATCGTGGCTGAATCGGCAGGCAGACCCCCTCTTACACCTCCCATATTGGAGTTCCTCACGACATGCTCTAGACATATCACCAACCAGCCTCAGCCTGCACGGGTGTTTTGTAGCAACACCCCCTTCACTGGGAGGAGGAGGATGATATGAGTTCATTTCCCTACGATATGCCAGCGAGGGGCGCCCATGGGGGCCGTGGTGTGCGTGCTGATAAGACGAACACAAGTCCGAACAGACACACGCTGGAATGTACATCCGCTTTCCCCCAGCTGAGCTCTTCTCACTTGCTGACTTACAGTGCCAGTATACGGAAAACAAGGAGATGGACCCCCGAAATTCGTGCATATTTTCTCCACCCCACAAGAGCCTACCGTCGAGCTTATCCCTCTGCCCACTTCCACCGCACTGCCAGGTGTCCACGTCTTCTCTTGTGCATAAGCCTTGAGAACCAAGTCAGCTACCTCCTGAGTACACTCAGGACAGGTGCAGGGCATGGCCCCCCATGCAACCCTAAGGGAGGTCGACAACGCCATGGCCTGTGGAATGATGGGCTCCTGAGCCATCAGACTCGATCGAGCAGGAACCTCGCATGATTGTGATGGACTAGCAGAGGGTGTGGTCGAACTCGAGGCTGCAAGCTGAACATGATAGCAAATTGGCAGCAGACCGTCACGCGCCACGAAATACCTGTTCAGGTTTGCTGCTAGGCAGACCTTCCGATGACAGGCTTGAGCTGCCAGACGCCGTTGATTGAGCTGAAGAGCCCCTACGAGGCTCCTCCCTATCATAGTCCTCCTCAACACTCTCCCCTATAGAGGACGTCTTGTCCGACTCCCCTCGGCGGCTACCTCCACCTCCCTTCCTGAAATCCTCTTATTCCATTCACCACAGCTCTGCCACCAATACGGATCCTACCTTCCATCACGATACCCCTTAGGTCCTCCGCAAAAGCGGTAACGAGCCGCCGCTCGACCACCCCCCTTACCCTTGGGGTGATGGGGCTTAACAACCCATTTCAATGTGCCTGTTGCTGGCCCGTTACCACGCCATACCTTATTGCGTCGAGAAGTGCCCTCAAGTGGCTTCTTATCGTCCTTCAGCCCAGCAGCACCAACGTCACCGATCTTCGCATAAGACATTTGACGATAAACAACCCGACAGCGAACCCCCATTGGCGGCCAGGCACACTACGTAACCCAACACGCTGTTCTCAACAAGAGCATGCACAGTGGACATCAGTAAAAAGGATTGATAAATAAGTTGAATAGTTCTATCCCCACCACCTAGCCATGTGATCCCTCTCTTGCTGTGAATTGAACATCAACCACACAGGAGCATATGAGCTCGCCGGGCGCCCATTGGACCACCTGAGGAGCCCTCCTACCGCGCCCCCTACCCCAAAGAGATACTACCTCGAACACTGCAACTTGAGGCCCTTACAGCTGCTGCCTCCACCATTGCAACGGAGAGCATTGGCAGGAGGAAACAGGTCGTACTTTTCCGCATGAACCTTCCTAAGGCACTTCAACTGGTACGCGTAGCGGAAAGTCCGAGCATCCGACACCTAAGGGTCAAAAACTGGTGTCGAGACGGCGGAGCGAAGCAAAAAAGTATCACATCGATGATTCCAGTGTCACCAACAATCCTGGTCGCGACCATCTGACTGGCCGCTGAGAAGCGAGATGAGAACGAGACCACGGGCTGGCCCGGGCGGATCTGAGACCACTACTCGTAATGCTATAGATGCCAACAATCTCAATTACATTATAAGTAGTGGCTCCTGCAGCGGCCATACCACTCCTCCACCTCATCACGAAAGCATCACGATCCGCCTTAGTTTGGAACATGAAGTAAGTCTTCGCCTCGTAGTTGGTGGTGCCCATATAACTGCATTCGAGCCGAGCCACCGAACAGCGCCCCTCAGGACCACGACAATGGAGCTCTGCCGGAGCAGTGTACCCCGCGGTATGTGGCGGCTGGTTTCTTCTACAGCGGAGGTCTCGAGGCCCATCATAATGTTGACCCCTCCAACGACGAGACTCCTACCACGACCCAATATCACTCCAATCTCAACTTCCCCTACCCTAAAGATCCCATCCTCGTGCCCTTTCGCTGTATCAAATACACTCAGATAAGCCGCGCTTGGGAAGCTTGGGTTGTTGAACGACACCAGAGCCTCATTAGGGCCCTATAACATCACTTCCAACCAAAGCCGCCGAAGGCACCAACCAAGCCGATCCCATCTTACCAATAGTCCCCGACTCCTTTGATCATACCCTCCCCTGCTCTGTTGCTGGAGGTTGCCAAGTCCTGCGATAACAGCCGTACCTCACTCCGCTCAAATCCAGTTACCGTTACCTGTGGCCATCGTTCCTACATCTTTACGAGTAACTCCACCCATGCCATCGCTCCAAGGGTCGGGGGCAAACTCCAGCTCCTCGCCCAATGAGGGGTTGAGACTCTTATCAGTGAAACGGTAACTCTCAGCCAGTGGGGTCCTCAAGTCCCTCTTGGGCCTGCCTTCAGGAGATCCTCTTGTCACTGGGTTCATGCCCGAACCCGAGGATCCACTGCTGGGGGCACGAGTTGGAAGCGAAGGGACGATGCCCACGTTGGCAGGTAAGCCTGCTAACGCAGTCGGCTGAGCGGACGTAGTGCTCGTGGGTCTATCAGTACTGCCAGGACCACCGAGAGAGTCCAAACTATCGCGCCGTGGTCCATCTAGAACACCGCCAGAATCCAATGCTTCCCCTGGGCTACCACGGAAGCCTCCGCCTGCACGGCTGAGGGGGTATCCGTCCTGACCACTAACGACTCCATCTAAGACGCCACGGGATGCACTGCCCAAGGCTCCATTGGGGCTACCAAGAGCATCTCTACCAGCACTGTTAGAGGAGTCTTCACCAGCACCCCCGAACGGATTAGCATCGGCACCGCCGAACGGGTTAGCGTCAGCACTCCCAAAGGGGCTAGCGTCAGCACTCCCAAAGGGGCTAGCGTCAGCACTCCCAAAGGGGCTAGCGTCAGCGCTCCCAAAGGGGTTCCCACTGGCACCTTCCGGAGGCCTGTCGGCAGCATTATCCGATCCATCTCCTTCTCCACCTCCTCCCTCACCACCAAAGGGGTTCGACATCGAGCTATCGGAGGCTACCGGGGGGTCTTCCACCCATGAATCCGATGTTTCCTCACCATCTCCAGGACGAGAGTCTTCACCCCAAGCAGTTGGCTCCTCCCCAGGGCCTCCCTCACCCAAGCCACTATTATCCCCAGCCAGCGAGTCGCCTCGCCAAGCACCGATCCCCCCTGGGATATCCTCTGCAGCATCAACGTCCTCAGACCCACCCCAGGCGCCCTGAAGTAGAATGCACCCAGCAAACGTCAGATCCAACCTACCCCAAAGGGGTTCACATCCTCAAACGGGTTGCTCCTGAAAAGATGAAAATCATATAAACCGACCAGACTGACAATAGCTTACTCCTCGGGACCGCCACCTGAAACAGCACAACGTTGAATCACGAGCACCACACGTCTTAGCGATACCTATAACTCCAACCAGCAGTACACAGCCGACGAGGTGGAACATCGTTATGAGGTCGATAACAAACAAATAAGAGTCAACTACAATGAAAGCGTCTACATGGTAAAAATCCGAAACTCTGAAAATATCATTTCGATTCGATGCCGGCCGGTGGTTTAAGTAAGCGTTGAGCGCTCGGGACTAGGCAGCACTCGAGAACGTGGGAAAATCAGCGCATGAAGACAGAGTGATTCGAGCTGGAATGTAGCAGACGATTATACGTGTGTAAAAACGTCAAGTGCGCGAAGAATTCCGCCACACCCGCGCAAAACGGCGCCTAAAATCCACAACAAGAATATTCTTCCAGCGGAGAGACGCCTTTGCCTCCACCGATATGAACACTTATACTCGCTATATAGCGGCTACATATCACCCCAATCCTGTGGTGAGTACAGAGTACGGAAACATTGAGGCCCAGAGGATGCGACGAAGCCTCACACTGTCACCTCCGAAGTG